CTCCCCACGCCGCGCCGGGAGGTTTGGAGCAGGGGATGCATAGAGCAACCTCGGCTGGATTTTTTTGAATTTTGGGGTGAGAAACCGGCCTTTTTGCAAAGCAAATGAAACGATTCGGGTGATGAAACAAAACCGCTTCACTTTCCGCCCCGGCTCTGGCTGCTGCGCCGTACTTCCCCTCGCTAGCAGAAATAGAGGCCAGGAGGGAGCTGTGGGCATGGGGGGGACCCACTCAATGCCAGCCCTGGACCCCGACCACCTGACACCCTGATCACCCCGGACCCAGACCACCACAGCCCTCGTGGAAACTTTTGGGATGATGTTTCCACCTGGGTCCTCAGGTGGGAATGGCTCCAGTGGGGTGAAGGTACCTTGGGGCAGAGGATGGAGCCGCTGGGGTCACCGAAGATCACTCCTGGCTGGGTGCTTTTTGGGGTTTTCTGGTGGTGGTGTCCTCGGGGTGCTGCTGGCCGCTTGCCATATGCCAGGGTGGACGTCACGGTGAAGGGGCTCACGGGCCAGTGACGCGCGGGGACAACCTGCTACGAGGCTAGGGACTGTGACTCAAGGACACAGGGCAACAGCTGGCATACAGGGCGGGGGTTACGTCGGCTGCCTGTGAGTCACCCGTGGCACTGCCAGAGGCCGCGGTGAGCAGGGCCAGACAGCCCAGCACCTCCATTCCTCCTTCCCCCAGCCCCCTCAGGCCTCTTCCTAGGGGTCCCAGTGCAGACCCGACCCCCCCAGCAGCTCGGCCTGGGTCTTTCGAGCCCACCAGCCTCCTGCAAAGCTGCTGGGTGCAGGCACCGCGGAGCCCACCCACGTTTCGGGGCCGCAAGAGGCCAGGGCGGACACGGAAACGGGGCGTCTGCGTCAAACCAGGCGATTTCCCCAGGCGCCGGAGCAGTCGGAAACAGCTCCCTCTGTCTGTGAGCTCTTTGTGGTGCCATGGAAAAGTCTGAACACTGACCCGGGGCTGTCCTTCCAGCCCCAGCTTTGTCCCCCAGGCAGCAGCAAATGAGCATTAGATCTTAATTACAGCTGCCCAGGCAGCAAGGACCGAGGACATGCCGTGATGAAGGGCGCCTGGCCAGCACAGTGGGACACGGCTCTAACACAAACCAGCCAGCCATGGGCAGCCTGGTCTCTGTCCCCAGCACAGGGGGACATGCAGTGGCATCCCTGCACCCCTTGGTGTGCAAAGAGAACAGGCAAACTCATAGCATTGATGAGAGCTGCTGCAGTTCCCTGAGCCCTTCATACCTGTAAAGTGGCTCCAACCAAACCTCAGATCCTAGCACAGGATGTTCCCCTCTGCTCCAGCATTAAAATTCCCCCATTTTTCCTCCAATTTTATTATTCTAGGGTTTTGGTGTTTTACGGTGCAGGGAAGGAGCAGCGATGGAAAATGGGTGCCTCCTGGCCACACACCCCCTCCGCACTCCAGCTAGGCCTTGGGCGATGCTGCAGGCTGCAGCCACTGCAGCTCCAGGATTCGGATGAGGAGGAGGAAGGCGATGCTCAGGAGAAGCAGCCAGAAGAAAACCCAGTAGTGCTGCGGGAGGAAGAGCCACGGCCGCCACAGCTCCACTGGGGACCCCTTGGACCTGGGGAGAAGGCGACCGGGAACACGCGTCATCCAGGGGAGAGAGCAAATCCCACCTCCGCCCCAGCTGAGGATGAAGAGTTTGTTTAACTCAACCCCAAACCTCACTGGCCCTTTTGCAAACCCAAATTGCAACAAGCCCTGGGAGAGTATGGGTGACCCACAATGCATGGGGGAAACTGAGGCAGAGCAGGGTCAAGCTGGGGCAGCCGAGCAACATCCCAGCCTCCCATCACCAAATCCCCAGCCCGTTTCCCATGTGCTGGCCACCATGGGACCACAGAGAGTCCAGCAGCTGTGAGGGGGATGCTGGGCACACACAGGGAGCTGCTCACGTCAGCCCAAGCTGCTCTGGCTCCTCATCCCCTGCACTTGAGCGTCTGCCATCTGCCTCAGCCACCGGCTTCCTGGTCACGGCGCTGCCCAGGCCCTGTGGCTCCAGCTCGCTTCTGGGGAGGGAGAGGAAGGGGTGCTGTGCCGTGCCCCGTGGACGAAAAGTAGCCGGTGCCGTGGCCTCCCTGCCATCCGGTGCAGTTACCTCTGGGTGCTGGGCCGGCACTGGGCCCCCTCCCTCTCTGGCTCGCCAGCCGGGGCTGCTCGGCTGTCAAGGCTGGCACCTGGCTGGGCACCGAAGGTGGGAGCATCAGCGGGCACCCACACCCCCGGTAGCACCAAGCCTGGGGACACATGTCCGACAGTGGGCACAGCTCCTGTCTGTACCCCCTGTGCATGTCCTTACCAAGAGCTGCTTGGGGATGACGGCGATGCTGACTCTGCGGCGGGCAGACCCCTGCAATAAAGGGGCTGGGGGTGAGCACTGCGCCAGCTGCCTCCCTGTGCTCCCCATCCCTTCCTTCCCCACCACCTCCCCAGCACAGGCAAGGGACGCTGAGGAGGAGAAGGGACGCTACCGGCCTCCTACTGGCCCTGGCACTAAAGGGGGAAGCCGGAGAGCTGGTGAGATGTGGGAAGGTCAAAGCCAAGAGGTTTGTGCCTGTTCTTACTCTTCAAGCCGTGCCGGCAGGGCTGCCTAACCCCCTCCCCAAGCGCTCCCCTACCTCTTGAGCTGTAGGGGAATCAGTGCTGAATTCGGGCTGGTGCTAGAGAGCAGCCAAGCCTGCGGCTCTCACGCTATGACCCTGCAATGCAGAGGTACCTGCCTGAGATCTCCTGGACAAGCAACCCCCATCCCCGGGGCACCCTGTCTCCCTGCAGCCCTCCGAGGCTGCCCCTACATTTTGCCTTGTCCCCGGCATTTCTAGCAGATCTTGACCACAGCAAGCAGCTGGCAGGAGTGGCATTGCCCAGGGACTAGCGGGTGTGTGGGGACCACCGAGCAAGGGAGAGCAGCAGGGCATGGGGAGGTGGTGGCTCTGGGGCTGCTGAACTGGCACCAGTTACCTGCTGGAAAGTTCGCATCAGGGGGTGAGGCCTCAGCCGCGGCTCTGCATCGTCTGGGAGCAAAGAGAAGCAGCCTTACATCACTCCCCAAAATTATGATGGGGTTGATGCACAGACGGTTGCAAACCTCCCTCCCATGGAAAGCTGTCCTGGCCACGTGCTCTTGCTTAGCACAAGTCACAGGGGTGCCCTGGCCAGGGGGACCTTGCTTGCATGCATGGTGATGGCATGCATGGGGTTTGGTGTCCAGGGACAGAGCATCCTTTGTATGCCCCATGCCCCCCTGCCCTGCATTCCCAGCTGGCCACCAGCACCTGCTCCCACGCTGCGTCTGCTGTTACACCAGCCCCTCGCATTTGTCATCAGGTCCCAGCTGTCACCTGCCCCTGGTCCCCAGCTCACACAACCCACCAGCTCTGTGGTGCAGGGTCACACTGACCCCCGGGGGGATTTGGGACCAAACCCCACAGGGTCACCCCATGCAAACCCCCCATGGGCCCCGGCAGCAGAGCCCACCTCACCCTGGGTCTCCGCCAGCTGCCGGTTGCGGGAGTTTTGCTGGATCAGGCGCTTCATCTCCTCCAGCTCTGCATGCTCCCGCATGTGGTGCCGCTTCAGGTTCTCTACATGCTGGACCATCACCTCCGCTGCTCGACTCATCCGGGCCTCCTGCAGATGGGCAGGAGGGGGGATCAGATCCTCCATCTCCTGGTCCCTAAGGACCCAGGTCCCTGCCAGTCCCTCAATGTGCATCCCACAGTGCCTCCACCTGAGGGGTGCAAATGCATCCCCTTCCTGTTCCCACGGGCAGGCAGATCCCTTGCACCCTGGTATGTGCAAACATGAGGTCAAAGCCAGAACCACGAGGGAGGGACAAACCCCAGCAAGCCCAGGGACGGGTTCCCCAGCCCAGGCACAGCACCTTCCATCCCTCCTGGCCCCAGTGGGAGCCCCAAGCAATGCACAGACCTGATGTACAGCCCCCAGCTTCTCCGCAGCACTGGTTGCCTGCTCGACGGCAGCCGCCAGCACAGCCAGGCTGTGCTGCAGCTGCTCCAGTGTCTCCCTGCAGCCTGCGTCAGTGCACGATGAGCCCAGCCTCTGTGGAGGGAGAGGGGGAGGATGGAGCTGCCAGAGCCAGGACTTTGAGTTGTCCAAACCCCTCTGGGGCTGAAAGCAGATGCCAGCCCAGTGCCCTGGTGCCCACCTACCTCCAGGGCAGCCCGGCACTGCCCCAGCTCCTCCTGGATGTTTTCCTCTGCTGCGTCCCGTGCCCGTTTCTCCACCTGCACCCGTTGCTGCAGGGTGAACACGTCGCAGCGAAAAGCCAGGGCAAGGTGGGCAAAGGCTGCCTGCAGGGTGGGAGGGCAAGAGGTGGGACACAGGGCAAAGGGAAGGCCACCAGGGCCATGCGTTGCTGTCCCCAAGGCACAGACAGACCCTCCCTAGCATGCCACCAAGCAGTGCAGTGCTAACGATAATTAGCCCTTGCCTTGCCCCAGCACCCGTTAGGCACGGGTGGGGACAGCACCCAGGAGGTGCCAGCCTGATGGAGACGTGCCCCAGGCAGCTGATAACGCATGGAAATCCCAAGCCCTCCTGGCAAGAGCACGTGCTGGGCAGACACCAGCCCTCGCTGCAGGTTCCGGCTGACAGCGGAGCCTGACTCAGCCCTGGCACTTGCAGGAAAATTATTTTTATTAGCTCAGCTTCCACCACCTCCCTGGCTAAGGGTGCTCTCAGCAAGCTGCAGAGCACTTTGTGGGCTTGCCGGGCACGCAGAGGACGGGTTCATCTTGCCATAGAAATGCAGCTGCCTCTGAATGCCAACAGCATCACTGGGAAAGGGATTTGTAAGGCAGCTGCCAGGGGACTGCGGTACCTGGAGGGCGGCCAGGAGCAGGACGCAGCCCCAGGACTGTGAGCCAGCAAGGTGTTGGTCCTTCTGTCCCCCTTCCCCAGCCCACCCATGGCCCCCGGCAGCCCTCACCTCCACATCCTGCTCTGTCAAAGCCACCCTGCAGAAAGAAAAGTGCTGTCAAGGATGGTGGCACCATGGGGACTGCACGCTGAAAATGCCCTTGGTCCACTCCCAGGGGTGCCAGGGATGCCAGCCACCATCAGAAGTGGTGACGCAAGTGCCCCTCGCCTAGAGAGCAGCTCTTGTGCACTGGCAAATGAGGGAAGTCCAGTCCCTGGATGACACGGTGCCCTAGGACCCCCCCATCCTGTAGACCCTGGAGGGACGCAGGTGCTCACTGGTCTTACCTGTGCAAGCCTAGTCTTTCCAGCACTGAGAGCTCGCTGGGGAAACTCAGCAGTGGCTCCTCTGGGGTTTCTGCATCTGCAGGGAGGCAGTAACACCATGGGAGAGACCACATGTGAAGGCTTTTCCTTGGCCTTTCCTCCTCCCTGTGCACTCCTGCCCCAGCAGGGAGCAGGTGCCTGTGGTGTGGGATCGTCCCAATCCTTCTCCCAGCATCAGCGGGGCTTCAGGCCCCCCCAGGCCAGTCCCCGCTTCCCCATGTCCCCACCAAGGGAGACGAACGCCATCAGGCCACACTATTGCCAGGCTCATCCCCAGCTACTTCAGGCTTTCACCTAATGGGACCCAGTTGGAATGTGGGATGGGGACTCACTCACCTTCCTCAGTCCCGTTACTGTCCTTGGTGCACACAGCCAGCTCCTGCCTGTCCATCCTTGGCACCTGGAGGGGCACAAGGGCACTATCGGAGCAAACCCTTCCCTGCTGCTGGACGTCATCCCGAAAAGAGCAGCACCGAGAGGCTGGGGGTCTGTCTGAGCCCAAGGGGCCGAAGAGGGAAGGGCCCCCCAACTTGTCACCCTCCCCTCCCTCTCACCTCGCCGACATGCTCCACACTCTGCTTGCTCCTGGTCAAAACCCTGTCTGGGTGCCCCTGGGGACTGCTCATCCTCCCTGGGGACAGAAAGGGTGGTGGGAGCTGGGCGGCAGCATCCCCTCCCCAGCCTGACACCACTTCAGGGGAGACCCTCAAAAACACCGCTGGCATTTTTGCAGCCTGGAGGCTCCCAGGGGGCACGGGATGACAGGTGCCCCCCAAAATACCCCTGCGGGGTTAAGGGAGCTGCAGCCAGGCTGGGCCAGGACAGGGGAAGGAGCGCGAGGGGTCTGGTGCAGCAAGTAGGCTACAGCTGGAGAGGCAGATCCAGGGGATGGGGTTGGGGTTCCAGGGCTGGAAGGGGTGTGAGGTTGCAGGCAGGTGCTGCCAGGCGAGGGGACACCCTCCTGCTGGACCCATGCAATGCTGCTCAGGGAGGAAAGGTGCAAAAACCACCCCTTTCCCCCCATCCCCACCCCGGGCTGCCCTTACCTTCATCTGGAGACGTGGGGAGCCCGGCCAGCTCTGCCTGCTGCTCCCTGCAGACAGAAGCCTGGGTAAACCCCAAAGAAACTCCGGCAGCAGAGGCAGCATCCCACCCCCTCTGCCCTCACCCAACCACCACGGCATCCCTCAACAGGATGCTGCTCCAGACCTGGGTCCTTTCCGAGCATCCTCTGCAGCCCGCTCCGTCCCCGTCCCTGTGCCCGTCCCCATCCCCACTCTCCCTGGCACGGGCACAGCAGCCCCCTCCACTCCTGCAGCCGCCGCAGAGCTGCCACCAAGGAGCCCGCCGAAGCCGTTTCCAGCCAGCAATGAGTCACCGTCCCACGGCTGTGCTTCTCCTCAGCACATTTTTTTTTTTTTTTTTTTTTTTTTTTTTTCCTCTGGTCGCCACACAGCC